CATTTATTACAAAAAATTCCTAGAGGAATACAGCACCTCAGGAGAGACAGGAATTTGGGTTGCTCATAATGAACTTTCTTTAATGTCTTATGCTGGTTTATCTTTTACCAGGTGCTCAGTGAAAAGCTCTAAACTAAATTACCTTTTAAATCAGTTGGAATGTAAGTTTGTTTGGCTGCAGACTCCCAGATATTATAAAGCTTCTTCCCCCGCCATCCTCCTCCCACCACAAATGCTCTGAGTCTTCTCTAAACACCAGATAAGAAATGATCAGGAAAGTCACACAGTGTGATTGCAAATACATGCTTGTTTTGACATTCCTTTTATCTGGAGCTTGAGAAATAACTGTCTTAACACCATTCCTTATGAATCAAAAAAGGTGAAGGATATGCCTTGCCTGAACTGACACTTTGGTATATGATGTTAAAGTGTTTGAAAACCATTGTGTAAAACAGAGAATTACTAAGTTAAATATGCCAGTGATATTAGCCATAATATATCTAACTTATTTATCAATTTGATTGAATACATTTAGATGGGTACTGGACTAAAGATCAGAATTCTAACAACTTGAAGACTTGACACAGTATGTATATTTTATTGTTGTATAAGCCTTAGATAATTTTTACTCTAGCAAGTCTCCCACCTTTCCATGTGACTAAGACAAGTGCATTTTGGAGTTAATAATTTTGATAATGAACATGAGATAATAACTTGTAGTTTCAACCCCCTATTTTTTCCCTGTACCACAGAGCTTGCAAAATAAATCTCTCAATTGCCAGGCCCACCTCCAATCACAAATGTTACAAAAACTGGAAGAACTACCCCTTCTGGTTCACCCCACATAGAGTGTACCTTCTGTTCTTGGCTTGTGCTCCTCCTGGCCACACTAGAGTCCATATCTCTTGGGCAGTATGGACTTCCTTCAAATATACAAATACAATCTGAGGGAAAATGGTGAAAAGACTGAGCCAGATATACACAGAAGTATAACTTGTCCGTTCATATTCCTTTAGGTTTTTTTATATTGTGTTTGGCAAAGAAAGCTACCCTTTCTTTCACTCCTCTACCTTTTTAAAATTATTTTTTATTGTAAATTACATTGAACTTTTTTTTTTTTTTCCAGAATGAGAACACTGAGAATTTATCATCCTCTCTGCAACATGGAGGTAGTTGAAATTTTGACCCTGGATATTAGATGTGAGATAGTATTGACCTTCCACATGATATTAAAGTAATTTTATTGTCCAACGTGTCTCGCCAATCTACTTCTATGAAACAGTTTTTTCTGGAAGGTACCATGATTCTTGTCTGTGGCAGTTTTGATCTGTTGTCTAGTTTATCTGCTTTCCCAATGATGTTAGATGTCTGTTTTCTTCCTGCCTCAAATCCCCATAGTTAAGAGAATCATGTCTGCTCCCTCAAGTCTCTAATGCCCTGCTTCCAATACATGCTTTATTAGCTTTTTGAGCTCAGATATTCTCATTTTGAGTGGTAGTTTGTGGTGGAATGTTTTACCTAATTGTGCAGGAAACAGTTTCTAGTATTAGTGTTTCTCAAGGGTAGAGAAGAAGGTGATCTTGATATTTGGGTATTTTTTATAATTACTTACCGTTATTTGATATTTTTATAATGGCCTTCCTTAAAGTACCTGAGTTTAACATATGACTGCAGGAAGTAGGACTTTCCTTTTCAGCTGTTCACAGGCTAGAGACTACATGTTCCTTCCAAAAGACTCCATCATGTAGTACAATGTCAGAGTCCAGAACATCCCTCTGGCTGCCCCGGCTGTCTCGAGACCCTGGCAGGGGTCTTGGAGACTTTGGCAAGAAGTCAAAAACAGCTGTGGCTTTGATTTTAGCCAGTGGAAAAAGCTGCCAACTTTGTATGAAGTATTACAAGCCATGAGGGTTTGAGTAGTGTGATATTTGAATAAACATAGGGTGGAAAAGTAGAAATTTGGGGTTTTCTAGAATATAATTTAGGGGGTCAAGATGGAGGAATCTGGGCGTGTCCTGGCCTTCTTTCCTTTCTTCTTGTCCTCCATCTTGGTATGATGGTGACATTTTTCTATTGGTTCAATGACTCACAGTCTAACACAGGTCATAGGTATTGGTAAAGAAATTATAAACATATGATACCTAGTTTTGAGTATATAAGGTGGGAGCCACCCAGGGCTTGTGGCAGATGGTCATGGCTTCCTTGCTAGCCAGAGCTCAACAGGTCAGAGAAAGAATGTTATAGATAAGAAGAAATAAACAGCCTTGAAAATGCAATCAGACACATTCCAGGCTCCTTCTTTGGCTGCATGGGCTAGGGAATGAGGACTCTCACAATCTCATGGACTTTCACACTGTTGGGGTCTCATCAACTGACCCTGACAGTACAGCACTCATATGTTGACAGTATAAAGAAGGTTCCTGAAGCCAAAAGTAAGAGGTAGAAGGTGCCTCTCTTCAGTTACAGTCCAAAGGAATTTTTTTTCCTTACATGGTAGAGGTTTACTTTTTCAGAATAGTGTATTCCTGTTTTAGCTGGCATTTCTTTAATAAATAAAAGAAAGCAAATGAGTAAATGTGACTATTCCAGTAGCTCCAATTTTTGAAGTGTGATATTCCTAGGTGCCACAGTGGCTGTCAAGAAGAAAAAGAAATATCTTTGGAAAAAAAGGGCACTTAAGGGGAAATGCTTTTGATTTGTACATAGAAATACGTATTTCAAGAACCATGGTGTCCCATTTAAAGCCAAAAATATTCCATTACAAGAAAGCAGTTTTTTAGTTATCTGCATAACAAATAAGTAATTCCTGTGTGCTTTATTGTGTGCAACTACATTTTATCAGATGTATTAGGCCTGTGAATTTGTAGATGTGTTAACTTGCTAAACCTGAAGAGATGTCACAATGCAGGCTTGAGGTATAAAGACATCATCCCAGAAAATAGTTTCCTTGTGTATTTTTTTTATTTCAGCAGAGAATTCACTATAAAAACCCACCTGTATTTTGTGTTTTTCCTACGCTTACCTGTGAATGGGTGGCTTTAATCCACTTTTGCTGCCTTCTAAACTTAGGTTGTGGTTCAATATCTGCAATACTGGATTGTGTCCTACATGCCTCTTTTTTTCATTGTTTTTCACCCAGCACATCTTTCCACAAAGGAATGGCTTCCATTTGTTGCATGCAGTTCATTTGTTCAGACACAATTCCAATGATATTTCAGAGTTCCCCTGCTCAAAATAAAGGCACAGGAATGCTAGGAAAAGCAAAAGTGTAGCCAGCGTGATCCTAGATATGATGGCTTTCATGTGTGGAAAACTCTTTGGTTAGATGCTTTACTTCATAAAGGAATGAATAAGGGAAGGTAAAAGAAATCTGTTACATCATCTGCAGCCAGAAAAGGAGCTTGTTTACTGTCTCTTCCATAAAAGCATCAAATGTAAAAAAGAACTAAGGGCTTCAAAGCAAAATGAATACAAACTGGAACTCTGTATCTCTGGCGTAGTGGGCATTAAAAGTTAGCCTGTGGCAGGGAAGAGAAGCTGAAGTACAGAGAGCTACAAAATGCTAGTGTGCTCAGTCAGGTTCAGAGATCTGTAAGATCTGTGGAATACAAGTGTGCAGTCTGTAAAAGCTGCAGTACTCGCCTGTGTTGTTACAGTCTTCCTGAGGCATCTGCTATTGGTTACACTTGGAAACAGAACCACTAAACAGGACAGACCTTTGATCTGATGTGATATGATCATTCTTATGGTCTCCATATGCTGCTACAACATCTGGCCATTTCTGTTAGCTTTGTCTCAATAAGCCAGAAGAAATCTAATAAATCCTTTTATTACTGTGGCTACCAAACTTTCCCTGCAGACCAGCACAATGTCTTTGGTGCAGCCTGCTGCAAGGCAATACATCTCCTGGTTTCAAGAGAAAGGGCATTGTTTTGCGCATATATAACATTGTGGGAGCTGTGTGCAGGATGCCCTAAGTTTAGATTTTCAGTTTACTGGGTCAAAAAAGCAACCATCTAGCTGTTGTGTGTGTTAACCATTAGAGAATGACAGGAACCAACAAGAAAATATGGTTCTGTGTTTGTTTCATTACACACGGCTTTCAGGTGGGTCTGTCAAAGTAGCCATTTTTACAGCTTAGGCTAAGTAGTGACTAGAGAATGAAAATATGGTCATAACAAAAAATTTCAAAAATGTATCAGTAGTCCAATACACCACATGAAATTCCAAAGGTCAGTTATTTCTTCCATGAAAAAGTACATAAAAACCCCTGACTGACAGATGAACCAACCAACCAATCAACCCATCCCCACCCCAATAAAATTCCAGAACTCAATCCCACCCAACTCAACCCCAAAACCCCACAAGCAACAAAATCAAAGCAAAAAATACCCACCTCAAACCCCAAACATTATTGTTGGTTTTGTTGCTGTTGGTGGTGCCATTATTATTATTGTTATTGTTATTGTTATTGTTATTGTTATTGTTATTGTTGTTATTGTGATTATTATTGTTATTGTTATTGTTATTGTTGTTGTTGTTGTTGTTAATGTTATTATTAAGGTGGTTACTATTATTAGTAGTACTATTATTCTTGATAATGATAATAACAATGATAATGAAAGTTATTATTATTAATATCAATATCAATAATAATAATAATAATAATAATAATAATAATAATAATAATAATAATAATAATAATAATAATAATAATAATAATAATAATAGTAGTAGTAGTAGTAGTAGTACCCTTTCCAAAGCTCTTCCCCGTGTTCCCTGAGCGCGGGTATGAACACCCAGCGGATGCTGACGGGAGCTACGCGTGCCCACGGCGGGCGAGCAAACGCCCCTGCGGCCGTGGGAAAAGGGGCTCTGCAGGAATCTCCCGGGCCAGTGGGATGTGCTTCCGCAGGGATGCTCCCGGGCCCGGGCTGTCCCCGCGGTTCCCACTGGGTGGTGGTAAAACGCTGCAGATGATCTCCCTGCAGTCACGGAAGCGCGGTGGGCTGCACAAAAAGTAGCTCAAAAGCAAAAACCTTTCAGGCGTATACAAATTCTGAGGGATCAGTACATCTTTACTGCCTGCAGTACCAGCCTTGATCTTCTTATCTGCCCGCTGACTGAAGGACCTTAATATCTACAATAGCAGTCAATACTACAATAACTTTGAGGTTTGAGGTGGGTATTTTTTGCTTTGATTTTGTTGCTTGTGGGGTTTTGGGGTTGAGTTGGGTGGGATTGAGTTCTGGAATTTTATTGGGGTGGGGATGGGTTGATTGGTTGGTTGGTTCATCTGTCAGTTAGGGGTTTTTATGTACTTTTTCATGGAAGAAATAACTGACTACAATACAGTACAATGCTGTACCCAGAGAAAGCCCAGTGATGAGGACTTTCTGGACGCATACACACTGTCCCATAGAATCACAGAATGGCCTGAGTTGGAAGTGACCTTAAATGTCTAATTCCAAATCCCCTGTGGTGGAAAGGGATACACCAGGCTGGTCAGAGCCCCATCGAACCACTTTAAATACTTCCACTGACCTGGTGTTCACAACTTGTCTGGGCATTTGGTTCCAGAGCCTCATCAGCCTCACAGTCAAGAATTTCTTCCTACTATCTAGTGTAAACGTACTCTCTTTCAGCCTGAAGCCATTCTCTGAACGCACCACTCCAGACCAGAGCAAATGGGTCCTGCTGGCCACACTGCTTTGATCAAACCCAGGATATGGTGTGCTTCTGGGCTGCAAGTGCACATTGCCTCCAACAGCACTCCCAAGTCCCTGGTGAAAATTAAGAGTGACTAGTGCAAAGGCAATTTCCAGCTATGGCAGGGTAGGGTGGCCCTTTTGTAAATCTTTAACTTTCAGGCTTAAAAATAGAAACACAAATAAAAGTTTCCTGAAGTTCGAGAGAGACTGATAGAGTGTATTGCAGTATTGCCTCTCTCAAAGTTATCATTTGTCCCAAGAAATTATGTTAAAAGCATAAAACATGTAAATGTACAGACACAGAAGAGAACAATGAATGTGTGGCCAACACTTATGTTACACATTAATTTTCTTATGAAACACAAAGTTCTTTTACTGAAGTTTTTGGGAAATGCACTAAGGTTTTTGTGTCTGAATTTTTCCTGGTTTAGTTGCAGACTTTCAGAAGGTCACAGTTTATTCCCCCTCACAAGTTGCAATGCAGCTGAATGTTGATGGCAAAATTTGTTAGCTGCCTTTTTTTTTTCCCTGGCTTGTAGCTGATAATTTATTTGCCAGATAAGCACTTTCAAATCATCATATCTATGGTTTCAATTGGGCCTGTAGGCCAAATTTTTTCTGCCTTTAGTCATGTTTTGTAGAGAAGCATGTTTTGTAGCAGCAACATCTGTATGAGAGTGGCCTTCACTTTGAGTAGGAGTACAAGGTCAGTGCTGAAACCTACAAGAGCTAATTACCAGAAGAGTGAAGAACATAAGAAGGAACAATCTCAGTGTCAGGACATGCTCGCAGTCCTTGTGAGCTAGACCAGATGTTAAAAACTAAACTTGTAAATATGAAGTTGTTTCTAGACCAAGAGCCTTCTCTTCTCCATATGCTCATATTGTTATTTATATCCCTGGATAAAACGGGATGTGTGTCCCCATGTGGTAAATGACACTTCCAGATCAATAGCACAGACTGAGCTGTTGCTGTCTGAAGGCAGCGGGGCCTGTGCTGCGGGAGAGGACAGGCCATGTCCTTGTTAACACCTCAGCAAGTGCAATCCCATCTGGCACTGTTTAGCTAAAGCTTTACAGGAAAGAAACTGCCTTCTGGAGTTTGTCCTTTTGAAACAAGACTGAGGAAATGCTGAAGACAACTTTGTCTGCATTTTCAGTTTTCTCCTGTTATTGCATAAGGAAAAACTTCCTTCTTGGAGGCTGTTGAAGAACTAGGACATATTGTGCACTTCAACCTGAAAAAGAGGTAAGTGGGGACATTATGACAGGGTCTGCATTCTTGTGAGAGATATGAAAGGCAGGAATCTACATCTCTTCTGTCAAAAGAAGATGTGAAACAGAAGGCATAAAACTGAAACCCCACCTAGCAACTTTTTTTACCCCCTTCATGAATAAAGCTGTGGAGCTCACAGCCATGAGGTAATTTTAGTGGGCTTAGGGGAAGAGGGAAGTTAATGAAAAACAAAATCAGCAAGACTCTTAAATGGGAAGGAAAAAAAAAAGAACCTCTGATTACGTCCTTGAGCATGAAAACACTGCTGTCTGGGAGAGCACACTGGGAAGTGCTGCTGTGAGCTGGCTCTCCCTCAGACAGCACTCTTCGCTGCTGTGAGGAACCTTTGATTTCTCACTCTGAGGCGGTTGTTTCCTTCCTGTGTCATGAAGGAATTTACATTGGACTGTCTTTGCAGACTTCTTAGTTGCCTCTCTGGCAAATTGGCATGGTTATTAATCTTACTATATTCTGTTAACACCTTTCTGGCATTTATTGCCACTGGTGAAAGGCAGACATACTTGGTAAGGTTTCTGAAGCTTGAAGGAGTAGGAAAAGACAGACAAAATAGAATGAGGCTTCATCAGGCTAACCTAAGGTGCTGAATAAGATATAGAAGATGGAGTCTCTGTAGCATTCATAATAGTTTAAAAGCTTAGATGCAGCGTATGTCACCCTCAATCATGTCTTTGTAGTATTACTTATTAACAATGATCATAAAAAAGTAATTGGCAAACTTTAAGGCATCACATTTCCTACTGGTGGAAAAGAACTAGGCCTTCTGAGTTCAGCTTCTTAGCATTGCAAACTGCTTTTTCTGCCAGTGCTCTGCTGGCAACCTTTGAAGAGGAAAGGGCTGTAACTATCAACATTCCACCTGCAAATATTTAACCTACTTGCATTTCTACAAGGATTTTGGGTCATTTGGGGGAAAAGTATACTAAAAATATGTGCATTTTTCTGCATTTCTTTAACCTTGTGATTTTGGAAGCCATTTGTGTATTTTGGATTTTTACCTTGAAACTGTGCTCAGCAGTCACATTGCCAAAGGTCATACATCTGCATTGTACCTGTACCTGCTCTTCATATTTCCTCTATAATGAAAAGCTTCAGGCCTTACAAAAATGTTATATACGCATGTGCTGTAAGCTCTAAAAGCTTGAAGAGAGTTGAGCTGGTTTGGCACAACTCTTTAGCTGTCACTGACATGAGTCTTTTCTGCACTGAATATGTAAGTCCCAGGAGTCAGAACCTCAGTGTAATACATCATGGGCCCCTGTAACTTTGCTTTCAGTAACTGATTTATCTACTGATAAAGTGTTCTGCAAGTTTACATGCTACATTAGAGAGCTGAACTCCATTTTCTCTTGTCATGGTATGCAGAGGTAAGTCGCCCAAATGCCCTGTCAAGGAAGTAGGACAGTCTTTCACATGCAAGGTACTCATCAGTTTAGACTAGAGTCTTGATCTTTATTTCCTTTTGCATCCTGCATTTTAATACTTTCCTCGTGCTGCTGGGGTTGTTTTACCCTGTGATTGCCACTAAGCCAGCCCATAATCAGTTGAAGGAAAAGGCTGATTCCAAGGAGATTTTCTAAAAGAAATGAGTCATTTATTGATTCCCCAAGTATAATGTTACCACTGGAGAACTGATCAGCTGGAAGTAGCCTCTTGTCACAATGCTTGTGCTGTCTTCAGCCTGCAGAAATAAAGCAAATCATATAGGAACCTCCATTCCCTCAGACACATAAAGACCTTCATCAGTTGATTAGTCAATTAACTTTTTAATCAAGACCTTAGCAAACAGATGATGATGTATGTTGAAGAGTGGACACTTTAATCAGAAGTAGTCCATACAAAGAACTGCCTGGTGCAAAGGAGGTAAATTTCTGGTTGCTGCGATAATCACCTCCCATGACTCACAGATGCACTTAAGAGTCCTAACTTCCTCCATTACCTCAGCTGTGAGAATGCAGATGCCACTTGAGTGAGAAAGAAAGCAGTTAATATACAGCTGCAGCATGAAATAATTGCTTCTCCAGTTCTCTTCTCTATACTCCCAGAGGATATTCCAAGAAAGTAGACCAAACCCATTTTTAGCTCAGTCTTGAATTATTGAACATACTATGTACCAGGCTATTAACCAAGGGAAAAAGTGGTTAAGAAAAAGACTTGCATGTATAGAAGAATAGGATATTTGTTACAAAAAAACAAAGTATTTTTGTCTTGTTGGTTTTTGTTGTTGTTGTTTTAGTTTTGTTATTTTTTTGTTGCTTGTTTGAGTTTTTCTTTATGTATAAAGCAGGTAAATCATAATTTTAAAACTAAAAGCTCTTTTTCATCCTATGAGTATCCAGTTTTCATTATAGGTAGAATCATTATGGGAATCGCAAATGCTGTGAAATAACATTTTTTTCTTGTTGTTAAGGTCTCTTTATCCAGGTGGATCTTCCAAAATGTGATGTTAATTCATGCACTTCCTAACAAGTCTAATACCTCTCCCAGCAGAGGTATGCCTGCAGTGCAAATCCAAGGAATGACTGCTGTTCGTGGAAGTATCCATCTCACAGGTAAGGCAGTAAAGCTACCGCAGAGCAAGATGAGGTACATCCAGTGAGTACTCAGGAGCTGCTAGTCTGCAAAATATTCAGTAAATCTACATCTAGATAAACCAGCTAGATAAAACCATCTCTGCATACACTATCACTAGTGGTGTTAGTGAGCTACTGATCTTTAATCATACTGGACTAAGAAAAGGAAAAACACACTGAGATGTATGCCCATGAGTGTACTCCGTGGCACAGCTAGTGCAGGTGTACCCACCATAAAGAGCCACACTTAGAGTATAGCATCTGCTCTGCCATAATAAGGGCTTCAAAGCTCTTGGGAGCTCCAAGAGCAACTCCTCAAGGAGAATGGCAGGAAGTGGTGGAGCACTGAAAGAGAGAGGTACCTCTCTCTCCTACCATGTGAAGGGAAAATCTGAAACATCACTTTAAAAGTGATTCAAACACCACAGTGCACATCTTTATAAATGGTTACCGTTCAGCTAACAGCAGCAAAAAGAGCAATGAATCTGCTTAGGAGGAGCAATGAAGGACCTTAAAAAGCACAGCTATTTCCCACCTCTGCTTGCTGTGCTGATCTGCAACCAGGTGAAAGTTGCTGGCAGCTCAAAATCCAGCCTGACCACCTGGACAATTAATTCATTGTAACTTCCACACCACTTGCAAAAAAGCCACATCATGTCATTGCTGTTGGAGCTATGCATAAGAGAGAGTGAATAAATTATACAGCACTTTTTGAATGCATCTGTGCAATCAGTGAGGAGGAGTTACATAAGGCTCCTCTTCCTGGTGAAGGGGAAAGTGCCTTTCTTCAGCACAGTTCATCCAGGGACAGGTTCTGCACAGGAGAGTACTGACAAACTCTTAGACACAGAAAATAAGGTGACAGTTTCCTCTACAATTCTCAAAAATTTCTTAGGAGGGCCAAATCCTAGAGCCTATGGAAAGCTTGAGCAAAACAGCTTTTAAGCCAAGGATCTCAACAGGCACAGGCAAAACTTTGAAAGCATTGCAGCTGCAGGTCTCCTGCAGGTTGTGCAGTCCTAGACCATTTTGCAAAAAAGAAAGCCTAAAAAATGGACATGTACACTTACAGAGCCCATATTCCATATTAACATAATTTCCACTCTGGCAGGCAGTGTACCCTTTCTGGGTAGAGCTTCCCACAGAATTTCCTGCTTTCACAAACAAAGCAAAACTTGTCTGATAGTTTGCAGACACGTGACTACTGTGCAGTGTACAGAGCAGTTAGTGGTATCTCATGGCTGGTAGCTGAGGCAGACTTCTTTAAAAATTGCTTTAAGAAACCATCAACAGATGGACAGAGACTGGGAGATGTCTCAAGACTTCTGCTTAGTGTTTGGAGAAGGAGGAGAAGATGCCTCTCTCAGAAATGCTAGTGGGAACAGTTTTATCTCCAAGTGAAGAAGAGTAGCTGTGCACACACTGAACTGCAATAACTACATGCTGTTTATTAGAAGAAAATGTGCTGCAAAGCATGCTAGCCCAGTGGAAGGCATTTTCCCCCTCACCTCTGAAGTGGATTATAAGTACCAACACAGACAATTCCCTTAACTCAGCTACTTTTGATGTCTTGATTTAGGAAATAACTTTGTGTTTCCCAAAGCTAATGTGCAGTTAAAAAGTAGTTTCTCTTCTTCTCTCTCTGTGTGTGTGTATGTGTGTGTGTGTGTGCGTGCATACTTATGCTCTTTTTGTAACATCTGTGTGACAAAAGAATTCATGACCCCTGAGTGTTCTGGGTACTAAGGAGAACTTTTCTACATAAAACCTCTGTGATTGCTACTGCTTTTACTGATTTAGAACCTTTGTTCTGACCCTATTCTATAGCTGAATGCCTGTTTTAACCTGCTGTAACTTCTACTCTTTTCTGAATCAAGCTGGCGAGAAACCAGATTTCAATGTTTATTTCCAGTGTTATTTAAAAATAAGAGATTCACTAGAGACATCTCTATTGCCTGTGTCTTGCTGCAGATGGGCTCCAGCCACTGATCAGAAGCCAGTGGAGCTGTAGATGTGGATTGTAAAGAAGTCTGTTCATATTTTACAAACAGAAGGATGCAGCTTTCTCCCTGTGTATTTGTAGCTTAGAAAGAATGAGCCAACCCCAGCAATAACAGTAACAAAAATAACCTAGTATGGACCAGAAGCCTATTAAAAAAAAAAGTTATGTAATCTCTCTACCTCTGTCTCACACTTTTCTTTCCGTCTCAAGTTCCTCTGGCTTTCTTTTTTTTAATATATTTGTCTTATTAACTTTACAATCATTATCAAAACACAGTATCTGAATACAATAAGAATCTACCTTCACAGGGAGCAATAGGAATCCAGTCACTACTAGGCACTTTATTGATTGCTTTACAGATTTCTAATTCTCTGGAGGGAACAGAGAAACATTTTTGTGTTGCTTCTCTTTCTCCTCATTTTTTCTCTGCAGTCATTGACGCAGGGGACTCTGACCTGCAGAGCTCTCTGCCCACTGCAGTGCTGACAGACTTGCAGTCAGCAGAGCTCTCTCACCACAGCTGTTGCTTGCACAGCAGTGGGCTTCTGCTGCTCACCCTTGAGGAGGTGGCATCTCTCAGGGTAGGAACAAGGCTGAGTATCCAGGGCACAGCTCAGTCTGAAAAAACACAGCTGTCAATGATGAAATAACATTCTGGAGAAGTCATCTGGAATAACAAGGAACTGTTATAAACTCTAAGCTTCTGAAGGAGTCAGAGAAGAACTAGATCTTCGGATAGTAGTTGTATACTGTAACTTACCCCACCACTCCAGAGCAGATAGGCTGAGGCTAGCAGTTAAGCAGGAGTTCTCTGGCATAAAATTGAAAGGCAGTGTGGCTGCAGCTTGTTGAAAAAGGGATCAGACAAGCATATGAGCAGACAGGTAGATGAAATGGGTAGATGTCTTGGGTGATTGTCTTCAGAGATAGGAGGCTAAGAATTTTTTTTTAATGTACTAGGTTAATGAGACAAATGGGAAACCATATTCTTGTTTACAGATATCAAAGCTATTTTATTTTTCCAGTCAATTTAGTAATACTATCTGTCTCTGTGTTGTTTTTCTAAGAGTAATATGTTTCTCAAAGCTGCTAATGCTGTAAACTGGCTAACAAATTTGCATGTGCCAAGATATCCTCATTAAGACAAGGATAAGAGATTTGTTAGTCAAATTAGTAGCACTGAAGGACTTGAACACATAGCAGGCCTGGCATTTTCTTATGCTTAATCTTCTAGGAATGTAACAATCTCCTCCTTACTGAAGAGATAGATGTATGGAAAAATTCTGTAAGTGTAACAGAACATGCAAGGGAAGGAAAAATAAAAATAAAAACAAAGGGGGAGGGGAAAGGAAAGGAGAACAAGGAAAAGGAGAAAACGGTGCAGTTAGTAATAAAATCAGTATTGCCAAAATTTGAAGTAAGTTTGAACTTTCAAAGGAAATTGAATTTTCTAGTCATCAGTGCTATATTTAGAAGGAAAACAACTACAACAAAAGACATGATCTATCTCTCTGTGAAGCTGAACTGAAGATTAATGTGATTCTACCTATGTTCTAAAATAAAATTAACATTTTTTTTTTAATACGATGTTGAACATGTAAACAGAGAATGCAAATAAAAATATGGGAAGGGAAACTATATCCCAAGTACTAAGATTTGGCCAAATTACAGAGTATTTAATAAATATAATTTTGAAGGTATCTATTATTTATTTACAAAGCATGCTTTTTGAGGTTTATACTATGCAACTAGAAAACAGTATAAATAATACCTCTATAGAAAAAAAAGGGAAAATGCAGATCCTGTCACTAGGCTGAAGTTATATGATGATTAAGGTCACAATAGCAGATCATCTGGCAGAGGAAAGCTGACCAAAGGCAATGCATGATTCCCATTTCTGTAGAATTAGTCAGCATGTGTGACACTGTCTGTAAAAGACTACTGAAAACAGCTCAGGTGGAGAGACCAATTCCGTGCTTTGCTTTAAGGTTTTGGACTGGATTAAACTGCAACATGACCACTGCCTAAAGAAACCCCTTAATATCAAAATTTTTAGCAAGAAAATAGTTAAAAAATTGGTTGCAAATGGGACAAAACAGAGGCTAGTTGTACAATATGCAAATGAAATGCTTAGTATCTTTATTTAACAGTGTACCTGAATTTTCTTAGGTGAGTAAAATCTCACAGAACTCTTTGAGTGGACTTTTAACAAGCTTTTAATACACTGCCCTTTTAATATACTGTCATATGCAAAATTAGGTGATATAGCAGGGTGTTGGACTGAAGATTATTCATAGTCACATGTAACAGGTTTTGCAGCAATAAAAATATTAATGATAATCTGGTGATGATTGACTGCTTGAGAAAATTTCTGCTGAAAATCATGGTAAGTCTACTAAATTTTTAAAAAGTATCATCCCCTTATACAGTTTATGTCCTTTACTGATGGTATTGTTTTTACACACTCTAAACACTTAGTCCTTTGCAGCTCTCACCTGAGCTTTTAATTCTTACTCTTTCTTAATATTCACAGGAAGTAAATTTTCATCCCTAAGGAACAGTAAAATATTTGATAGGGAGAGGTATCTTACTGTAAACTGTATGCCTTCCAGCCCAGTTTCACAGTTCAGTGGCTGCTGGATTTTTCACTTGCTCTGCTGTACAAGGATGTTTTACTTTGTTCCTCTATCACTACCCACAATGCAACATTAGAGGTCCTGGTTGATGGCAATTTATGTACACCTGATTCCTTATTAAGTCTGATCTCAGTGAGGTCAAGGCTAATCTGTTCTAACATCGAGACCTTCTGCTTTTGTTTAATATAGCTCACTGAGATTAAAATAGGATTAGAGCTCATCTGATCGGGAGAATAACCTCTGCAGATGAACTCTTCTACTGTTCTTTTGAAAAAATCACAACACTGTCTTGCAATGGCCATAGTTTCTATATTTCAATAGACATAAGACATTTGGTTGTTTTACATTTGTCCCTGTGATAGTTTTGAAACCAGACTTATTATTTCCCAAAGTCAGATCTAGTTGTTACTATGCACACAGAATTCATGATTATGGATTTCAGAATGGATAATTTTCTCATTCATCTCAATGCATTTTCACTACAGCAGTAAAACTAAAACAAATTTAAATGAATTAATAGAAACTTCATGAGGTACATTTAATAAAGTTTAAATTTTCACTTATTTTATTAACAAGTTTGCATTTTACATGTTTTTTCTTTTTGAAACACATGCAAGTAATAACTGTGAAGAACTAAGATGTTTTCACTTCATCTTGCTTCAACATTTACATTATGCATAATCACAGAAAAAACCAGGTCTATGTTATCCAAAAGATATTATCCTAACTTCATGGGTGATAAAGCCAAGCATAAGGATTGTCAAAAAAATTAAACTAATAATACTTTTCTGTGGGTTCCCACCTCCCCCACAGTATGTTCAGTAAAGCCATTCTTCTGCAGTATTTTCAATGTTGACACAGAAAATTTTATATTAAAGAATAGGAATTTGATGTGAGCATAAAGTAAAGCAAAAGTAAAAAGAGCAAAATTATTGGATCAATGTGTTCTCATTATTCAGATTCTAAGAAATGCAAAAAAATATAACTGTCAATGATTAGGATTATATAAAATATCACAGGTAGCATGCAGAGAAAAGATCAGCAGGGAGAGAGTTCTGAAAATGTTATTTTTGCACAGACAGGCTGCTTGGCTGCTGTCCTAGATTTCAGCCTGCTCTAGTTGGAGGTCATGCTGTGGCTAAAGTATTTAGCAAGGTCAATCTGACCAACTCAGTATAAACCTGGAATAACTCTACTGAGGTGTAGAACAAGAACAACCAAGAAGAAAACATGGTATTTTTGCCCTGGTTGCAATACTACTATCCAAACTAGCAATGACACTATTTGATTTCAGGATTTTTCAAGGTATGATCCTTGGCCATTTTACTTCACTGGTGCAGGGTGTTATCTTTTGGGGGATGTTACTTCTTAATAGTAATCTGAGAACATTCTGCCACCAAGGTTTGGTCCCTACCTTCTCTAACAGTAAAGTTTTTGCCCTGCTTGGGTGTCTGAGTGAAGGAAAACCCTGTTAAATGACAGAAGTGAATACTAAAGAGTTGCTTGAGTTCTTAAAAAGTTCTTAGTGGGAGCAAGAGAAGATACCTTTTATGATCTGTGTTAATTACACTTTCTTAACTGTATGGGATGAACTCACATATGCATTTTACTTTAAGAGAAGAGAGTAGCAATTGAAAGCAACATGTATCTCCCTAAATGAGAATGTATGATGGTATCAGTATTATTCCATAAAGGTTCAGATTTTTAATCTGATCAGCAAACTCATAGTTTATAAGTAAGAGTATGCAACTATGTGAAAACAGGAATGTAAAAAAAACCCAGCATTATTGCATATCTGGAAAATAGAGCTTAGGCTGCTACATGATTGTTTAACAAACTCTTTCTTGCCAGATACTCTACAATTCATCTTACTGTTGTCTGCATTTCTCATGTAGGTGTAAGTTTAATTTCTCCATAATGAAGCCAGAAGAGCACATGAGCATTGAAGCTGCATGTGTGTATAGGGGAAGTAATATTTTAAAGCTAAAGCAGTAATAACCTTTATAATCAGGAGTTGAAAATGAATTCTGTGTTGTACATTCCCTCTGAAATAATTTCTTAAGCAACCATTCTTGGTTGCTTCCTGTATGCTAGGAAAAGCAATGCAGTTTTTTTGCTATGTTTAGGAAACATAATCATCCTGCTCTTCTAACTTGGTAAATATGTTCCCATTTTTCCCCATATGTACAGAAGGACAATTTTATTTTGTAAAAGCAAGAATTGCCATACCAATGGTGTTGCACAATTACAACTGAAGTGAAAGGTCTCATTTGTAACTCTGTTTTCAATGAAATAAGTTTACATTTTTCCTGTGCATCAGAGGTTCTGGCCAAGCCAGCACCAAAAATGCTTACATTGCATATTAGGAAAAACTTGATCCCTTTGTAAAACTTTGGCATTGTTGACTGGGAATTGCATTAGTGTTCTAACACCTCAGAAACACCTTTTGGGAAAATAGATCACAGACCAATATGTGATTGTTTACCAAAGTTTTTCTGGCCAGATACTATAGAACTGATGATGTCTGACCATGGATGTTGTA